CAAAATCTGAATAGGGCCGATGGACCGTCGTCCGATCACAGCAATTTCGAGCGAACAAGGGGGGGGGGGGGTAATTTGGGGTCGGAAGGAGCAAAAACTCAATTAACGCCCGTTGGGGGCGCCCTACAGTAAGGTAGCCGCAAACAGAGGGCTTGTTTTCAGGCCAGAAATCGCAGTCAGAGATTTTTTTTCTTGCAATTTTTTGATGAAATATGAGTCATCCATCCTTCCTCGTGCCGTACAAGTGGTTTGGGGAAATTTTTCAAAACCTCGCTTCTCTATAGGGTGCAGACCAGTAAATCGGTCCGAAATTGCCTGCGCCGGCCAAATCACGATTTGCATGCCCTCAAAATCTTCGGTATTTGGGCATGCTTTGGGCCATGAACTTGAGGGTTTGTAAAAAATATGGGTGGAAGCCGTGCACAGGACTGGGAGCTTGCAGTTCTGTGTAATTTTGTGTAATCTGGACCCTAAGAGCGCTCTATTTTGCAATGGAGTGTAGGCATCGTTTTTCAAAATGGCGCTGGGCTTCAGGACTATTTTCAGGGGTGATCATCTTCAGATGGAAATTTCTCCTAAAAGTCATCAGTTGACCCCCCGAAAATTGAAAAGAAAATGAAAGATGATGAAATAAGCTTTAATTTGATGTGCGTCTCGAACACCTTGGAGAGTTGTGAGTATTTTTCCCGAATTTTTGAAGTGGGAGCATTTACCATTGGGGTCTATGGAAGTTTATTTACTGGTCTGCTACCTTATAGGATGCATACCTGCAAATAAACTCCCATAGACACTAGTGCTAAATGCCCATACTTCAAAATTCTTTTAAAAATACTCAAAACTCTCACAGGTATTCAAGCTGAACAGAAAAATGATAATCTACATGTCATCTTTCGTTTTCTTTTCAATTTTTGGTGGGTTGACCATTGACTTTTCGTGATATTTTCACCCAAAGAAGACGACCCCTATTTTCCCCAAAGCGGAAAAGTAGCCATTTTGAAAAACGATCCCTCCACAACATGGCAAAATAGCGCCACTTTCGAGCCCAATAGCATCCAAAATACTCAGAATTGGAAGCCCCAAGTCCGGGCCAGAGGTTCATTACCATATCTCTTCAATTCCCCAATTTTACGGCGCTCAGAACTCTCTAATATAGAATATTTTGAGGGCATAACTTTTATTCATGAGCTTGGCGGATCGATTTACCGGTGTGCACCCTATAATAGCAGGCAACTTTTAAATTTTAACACAAAACCACATTCAGGACAAGCAGAAAATCTCCAAAGTCAATTTTTTGAAGAAAAAAAAAATGAAAGAAAAATATTATCCGAGGTCGATATTAAGCCCGAAAATAGTGGGTTTTTTTTTGCCCTGCTCAGCTGTAGAGCGCCCCCAGCGACAATAAATTGAGTTTCAGCTACTTTTAAGCTCAAAATGCCTCCCCCCCTTTTCAACTAGCCATTGTTGTAATCGGGTGATAGCCTACTGCTCCCTTATGATTTGGAAGCATCCGTTACGGAAAAAAACCTTGTTGATACCTTTAAAACACTTTTCCCCCTCCCCGTAGGTTCCGCCCACTGAAAAGACCACTGCCGCGGCACAGCGCATGCGCGAAACGGCCATCTTTGTTATTCTTTATAGGATGCATACCTGCAAATAAACTCCCATAGACACTAGTGCTAAATGCCCATACTTCAAAATTCTTTTAAAAATACTCAAAACTCTCACAGGTATTCAAGCTGAACAGAAAAATGATAATCTACATGTCATCTTTCGTTTTCTTTTCAATTTTTGGTGGGTTGACCATTGACTTTTCGAGATATTTTCACCCAAAGAAGAAGACCCCTATTTTCCCCAAAACGGAAAAGTAGCCATTTTGAAAAACGATCCCTCCACAACATGGCAAAATAGCGCCACTTTCGAGCCCAATAGCATCCAAAATACTCAGAATTGGAAGCCCCAAGTCCGGGCCAGAGGTTCATTACCATATCTCTTCAATTCCCCAATTTTACGGCGCTCAGAACTCTCTAATATAGAATATTTTGAGGGCATAACTTTTATTCATGAGCTTGGCGGATCGATTTACCGGTGTGCACCCTATAATAGCAGGCAACTTTTAAATTTTAACACAAAACCACATTCAGGACAAGCAGAATATCTCCAAAGTCAATTTGTTGAAGAAAAAAAAAATGAAAGAAAAATATTATACGAGGTCGATATTAAGCCCGAAAATAGTGATTTTTATTGCCCCTGCTAAGCTGTAGAGCGCCCCCAGCGACAATAAATTGAGTTTCAGCTACTTTTAAGCTCAAAATGCCCCCCCCCCCCTTTTCAACTATAGCAATTGTTGTAATCGGGTGATAGCCTACTGCTCCCTTATGATTTGGAAGCATCCGTTACGGAAAAAACCTTGTTGATACCTTTAAAACACTTTCCCCCCCTCCCCGTAGGTTCCGCCCACTGAAAAGACCAATGCCGCGGCACAGCGCATGCGCGAAACGGCCATCTTTGTTATTCTTTATAATAGCAGGCAACTTTTACATTTTAACACAAAACCACATTCAGGACAAGCAGAATATCTCCAAAGTCAATTTTTTGAAAAAAAAAAATGAAAGAAAAATATTTTCCGAGGTCGATGTTTAGCCCGAAAATAGTGATTTTGTTTGCCCCTGCTAAGCTGTAGAGCGCCCCCAGCGACAATGAAGTGTACCCTGTCGGGCATCTGGAAAGGCGTAAACTAAGTGATTTTCGCTACTATTTTAAGATACCGACTTAAAGCAATTCCGACTTGAGTCAAGCCTATCCTGTGCATGGCTTCCACCCTTATTTTACTTATTTTTTTTAAAAACACTCAGGTTCACGGCTCATAGCTTATTATGATCAAATACTGAAAGATTTGAGGGCATGCAAATCGTCATTTTTGGCCGCGCTGGCGTAGGCAATTTCGGACCAATTTTACTGGCCTGCACCCTTTACAGAAATTGAAACTCAATCAGGAATTCATCCAACTTGCCATTACAATCTTCTCCGTTCAAATTCTTTCTTTCACCTCTCAAACGGATCACTCAAATGACTGTGTAGCGACTCTACCTTCTCTGAACCGGCTATTTTCATTGTATAATGTTGCCAGATCGAGGCTGTGCATGCCCAATGGAGGAGCGTGAAACGAGCGAATTTCTTTTAAAAAGCAAAATGATAACTTTAGAGGAACAATCTTGAAAGTTTGCTCCCGGGAAAGGACACAAATCAGTGAAATTAAAAAAAGCAAATTGTTACATGTCTTAACATGTTCCCTTCGTTTTCTTTCGAGGAAAGAAATAACTTTTCCAATATATAATTGACTTTGCATGCTAGACAGCAAAAATAAACTGTTACATGTATGTACATCGAGAAAAGTCACCAGACGAATTAAACAAGGGCGCCCTCCATAATTCAGATACAAAAACACTCAAGTTTTAATCTAAAAAAAGTGCTTGAAAAAAACAACACCTTTGCACTCTATAGAAAAAATCTATTTTTCACATGTTGTTTGTGCAATTACTTGAAGATTATTGAAGCCTGAATTGTTGGTGTTGCAATTTGTTGTATTGAATTCATTGTCATTGTCAGACAATAGGTATCGCTATACGCGTTCCACGAGACGTGAAAATAAACCCCCTATCGCGAAATCAGTGTTTTCGTCAAAAATAAATAACAAATGTGAAAAAAAAACACTTAATGTTAAACCCGCTAATCATAGTTCCGTGATTTTCTCTGATTGCCAAATATCCAGTACAAGCGAAGGTAAGAAGATTAAAGTGGTTGTGGAATGCTCGAAGACATTTCCGTCATTTTTCGGGTATAGGCCTATGTAGCCTAAGGTGTGATGAAATAAAAACGACTTTTGTGACTGTCATGAAAAGGTACAAAAGTTACTTTTGAGAGCGGTTTTTCAGGTCCTGTTTCGACCCGAACGTGCAATTTGTGTAAAAGTTGTCGTTTGGGGCAGCAAACAAAACATAGTAAATCGTGACGTAATAAACAGGACTCCCGATGCAGCGTAGTATAAACGAGTCCTGTTTATTACGTCACGAGTTTTCTCATTTTACGGAGAACCCGACGACTGTTGATTTCAGTTATGCGCTCGCCGACCAACAAATTACTCGATGAATTTCAGTTTTATAAACATATAAACGCACATTACAAAAGAATGGGAGTTTGTCATTATGATATATATGGGTCTACTCTACAATAAAAAAATATAAAAAACAAAACGACTTTCAGCATTCCACAACCTCTTTAATCATGGATGCATGGCGTTATTTAAGGTGGCGTTTGTTCTATCGACCTTAATTATGCGATGAGGCGGAGTCTTTGTATTTATGAGCTGGGCTCAAGCAAACCAATTGTGCATTCATTGTTAAGGAAGGAAAATAACCAAAATAAAAAAAAACGGCGAACAGACGGGAAATCTACACAATTGATTGTTTTCAATGCTTCATTTATTAAGGCTAAACGCAAACTGCAACAGACTGGTTACATAAGGTCGCTGCAATAAAATAAAGAAATTAACAATAATTGAAAAAAGGGGGGGAAATGGCCAAGGAACTGATGAATGAATACCAAAAGCTGATACAAAAAGATACATTGAAGAAAAAGCTAAAAGCAAGACGTCAAAAAAACTATAGAGGTCTTATGTCTGTTTGAAAACAGGACATAGGGCTTTTCCGCTCATTATTTTCGCATGACTTTATTTTTCCATTGTGGACTTGGTTTCTACTAAGCTTGAAGTCAACCCAATGAAAGGAAGTGTTAAATTTTGGAAGCGGAATGAAATTGTAAATATTAGAAAAATAATAAAAAATCAACCGATGACGTCATTGTGAGTCATTTCGGATTCTGCATACTAGTACTATTATCTAACTATCCACCAAGTTTCATGACAATCAGACTTTCCCTTATATGTGTTTTTCAAAAATCGCTTTTTTGATGATTTCATGATGACGTCACACATTTTTCAATTTTTTTGCATATACCTAGCAAACATAATAAAAACAGAATTTTGAATTTTGCATGTTGAAAGAAAGCAAAAAAATCATAACAAAAATAAAGGGTTTTCCTAGAAAAATACGGAAAACCCAAAAAGTCAGAACAAAAACAACGGCTTTTCCCGCAGCTTTGCGGAAAAGCCAAAAAAGATTAGAAGTATGTGTTGCGTCACCGAATAAAATAGAGCTGAAAACTACATGGAAAACATTGCAATATATGAAATGCGAACATCTACAATTGACAATTCTTAAGAATGACAAAAAAAATTGAGCCTTGAGTCCAGTATTGAGAGAAAGAGGACTTAGAGTAGGAGCAAAGGGTCAATTGGGGTTTTTTTTGGAAATGATAAAGTGCTTGGTGGGTACTTTTGGCAAGGTGATACCTTGGGGTATTCGAATTCGCAAGTCGTACGGTATTTCCTTTTAAAATGATTTCATATCAATATATGAACATTTACACGAGATATCTAAGTAATTTGCATAGGATATTCAACACCAAGGACCATTTGATCATGCTAGTTTAGATGTTGGTTACCTAGCAACCGCATCCTCCTTAGCAACAACCCTTTGGAGCCTGATTAACTTACTAAAAAAGATTCCACAACAGGAATGACCGAGTGGAGGGTACCATACGACTAGCCAAGGTGTAACCTTTTCCAAACATGGTCATTTCCCCCCCCCCCCAAAAAAAAGAATATGAATGACCCCTGGCTCTTGGACTAACTGGATTGGTTCGGTTCAATGCACACGGACTGTTTGCGTTTGACTATAGCTACGAACCAAACCAGTTTAAAACAGTGTCAAAATAATGTTCTGCGGCTTCTTTAAGAGGATAATTTGATTCGACAGAATCGAATGCCTTTCTAAGATCAATAAAAACTGTTTCTTTTTTGTGTTATATTGCATAAAGACAATTATTAATTCATGCAACGTGTTCTTCGTCGAGTGCAGTGGTCTAAAATCAGATTGGCAAGCAGAATCAGATTGTTCTAATCGAGGCACGAATACAGCGCGTTGTTGGCTGCCTTTTCAAGGATTTTGGAGAAAAACCCCCAATTCTTATCGTTTTGAGGTATGCTGGGAACTAATAGAACAGCGCTGTTTCGTAGCAGTAAATACAAAAGAGTTTGCCCATACCAAATAGCGCCCCCTAGTGTGTCAAAAATTATCTCAAAGTAGCCCGTGACCGACAAAATGAAAAGATCTGACACAATGAAAAAAATATATATATATTTGCTTATTCACCAATAACATTAAACTGGAATATATGATCAAACAAAAAGCAAGCTAATAAAATGAATGCATGCAGATTCGTCTTCAGGGAGATGTTGGCTGGGCTTGTTCTACTTGAAGAGGTCTTTCCCAGACGCTCCCCCCATCTTCTTGACAATGCTGCCCAAGACGTTCAGCTGCTGGTTCATATCCGAGGACTTGCAGAGAAATGCGCACCTGTCGGGATTCTGCAAATGAATGATTATTTAATTAAGGAAATGAGAAAAAAGTGGGGTAATTGCCACAATGGTATTTTTTTATTTGCCTTTTTAATTGAGGGGGGCGGTGTTTTGTTCATTTTATGAGGCTTGATATGTAATGTACTTTCTGTAAATATACCATCAACATAATATACAGCTGATAATGCTTATCATGGTATTTTTGCAGTTATGGGGACATTTGAATATTGCATGGAGTTTTAAATCGTCACTTCATACTTGCAGAGTATTTTTGAAATGTTAATCGTGTAGATCAGGAGGACAATGTTTGCGGTTTTGCTTTTCTCAGCTATGTTTGACGAAAACTATAATTCTATTCTCATTTATTCTATTTGTGTGTGTACAATAGGTTATATATTTTAGTCTTTGTAGAGTCAGGTATTATGAGGTATATACGACCACAAAAACTCATGAATGGCGAAGAGTGTGTGCCCGGCAGTAGGGCATATGTGCATATGCCCTTATGCAATAGCGCGTAATGACCAAAATGTTCCCGAAATGTTCCCATTTCGTCAGAAATAAATACAAGTTGTTCCTAAACTTACGATTCATACGTGTGACAAATTTCAAATTCTTACAATTTATATTACATGTTGGAGAACATTGGATACATAATGCGCGCAGTGTAACAATGGAACCTTTCAATGCGATTTTCTTGAAAATGATTTTTGCGTCAGAACGTTCATACACCCTTCTGCCGGGCGCCCGACGAGTTATAACTTTGAGCACTTTCATTAATCCAATCTAGGTAAAATACGCTATGCTTTTAAGAACACTAACCAAATAGGTGTTGGCGAATGCTACGACCAGCTTTGGGATGTCTTGGATATAGTTTTCGCAGAAAGACTTGAAACCCTCAGGGATCAAGTAAGTGCACGCAACCTGCCTCTGGTAATTCTGCAACAAGGCCTGTAAGCAATAATTTGATTCGAAAATTCATTGAACACTCAGTCATTGCAATCATGGCTTAATGACTCATCGGTAAAACATATTCAAACACAAAACAAAACCACGAGGAAAGCGACACATTATTTACTTTTAAAACTTTGGGCACATTTTTTGTCAAATTTGCAACTAAATCTCACTTTACCGGCTTTAATAATTTTACCAACTTTTTTTGAGATAATCTTACTCACCAAGAATTCCTTGTCAGTGCTCACGTTATACGAGAAGGTCAACACTTCTTCACAGAGCACACATAAGAAGTGGTTATCTTGTTGTTCAGTTGGCAATATTTGGGTCTGTTGTTGTATGCCGATGGCTAAGTAGATATATAAAAAACGAAATAAATTGAATCCGTCTATTAAAAGAACAATTATAAATACCTGATAAATAAATAGGCAGTTTTCCCAATTCGTATTCGTCGACAGCCCGTCATGTAGTCGGTTTTAAATGGTTGATAAAGACCGGCAGGGCTGGCTGGTCTTAAACCCTTTTCTAGTGTCACATGAAATTTGGATTTCTATCAAATCCTGTGCCATTACCGTTTCATTGGTTGAACGTTCAATCCTCACGTAGGCATGCGCAATATACTACCAGTGAGTCAGTATTTCATAGTCCTCAAGTCAAACTACACCCTACCTCGTCCCCAGAGCTCACTTTATTTCCAACCTCGTTTCCAATACTAATCCCTGGATAGGAAACTTTCTTCCTGCCTCCTGATTCGATACCGCAATTTGCTAATAATAGATTAATATCGTGTAGTTGGTGTTGTTATTTCCAACGTGCATAACATGTTTTCACGATCATTGTAGTTAAAGCGTTCAAGCCTTCTCAATAATAATCCTTTTCTTTCCAGATCGCTGATATAAATATGAAATGTAATACTGCATATTGGCGGGCCAGATTGAAACATTTTAACTTGAACAAATCGTGTTTTCATAACTCACGGCGTGACGAATCGATGCTGTTTTTAACCCAGACACCGCATACAAAAAAACCCGCAAACTTAACGCACATACGGGCACCAGACTATTCCTCATTTGCATACGTGCTCAAAAATCTTTCACATGCAAATGATCCAATACCAGGGTGAGAGAGCAGGTAGTGGTGGGCGCGTACTTCTCGACGCCCTAGGGACGAGGTTGAACTACACCGTACATATGCGTTCTATGCCACATCATGAAGTACGCACGACGCGCGCGCTAATCTCCATTAAGAATTTGTTCACCTGCAGAAGACCAGTCGATAGCTACCTAGAGAGGTTTTTTGTTGAACGAAATCGTTAAAAATTGATAATTTTTGCCTTTTTTTAACTTTTGGTCCGGAAAGTTTCGATTTCTTTTTTTTTTTTTTTACCGAAAAGGTATTTATGAATGGAAATTATGTGCTTGGCCAGTATTAAACATTACGTTTAAGACCGGTTGGAGTCTGAATGCTGATAATTACACTTGCCTTCGGCTCGGGTAATTATCAGCATCCAGACTCCAACCAGTCATGTTTCGGATCGTTTACATATCCTATTTCAAACATCTGGTTAAAATGAAACCAACCTAATGTTTTACCTGGCCGCGAATGTTCTTTTCCCAAACTACATCCATAAACATGATTGTTTAGCGCCCTCTACGATACTTTTATGAAACGTACGAAGGTATATGATTATTTTGTCCCCACAATTTAGCGAGCATTTCGATAGCTCAATCGATAGAGTTCTAGATTTTGCACCGCGATGTTGCGGGTTCGAATCCGTTTTGTACCCAAAATATTTGTCTTTTTTAATCTGAGGCTTCAGAGGATTTTTTTTAAGGGAAATAAATTCCGAATTTCATTACGTTTGAAGCAGTTCTTTTTTTTATAATTTTATATTTTCTTCTCATGTTTTTACAGCCAAGTAAAGTCCAATACGCCATAGCGTACTCCCATATATTATTATGCGGATGTCGTTTGGAAGGGGGGGGGATCGCTTCCCGGCCCCCCTAAATATTAGTCTATGTAATAGACCACGGCGATTATTATGCGCAAACAAATTTGCTGGTTGATTAGGCAAGACCCCGCCTCCTGACTTCTTAGATTTTGACCAATCACCGGGCGCTTTCGATAGGACAATAGGGCCTTCGGTCATTCACCCGTTGCGCGTCATAGATATGGATTTAAAAAAAAAAACTGTCATGGCGCGCGGCGCTCGGTATCATGTTACGCGAATGCGGTCCCGGCTGTTGTTGTACTACGAAACGGGCGCAAAATCTACCTAAAATAAAAACATATTTTCAGAGGATTTGAGCGTCAATAATCGAGGAAATAGCTTTTCTGGTTTAATTAAACTGCGTAAGGAGAACGAAAATCGATTTTGTTGAAGAGCATGTGAGTAGAGCAACTTAGCTTCATCTTATTTCAAGCAAAAGAAGATTCGCTTTCTCTGCAGGATCATGTCCCTATTTTTACTGACCTTGCCCGCTCACCGCCACGATGAACACGATCACCAAAAACCCAACGCTGTTGTCCATTTTAGAAGAGTTTTTCGGGTATGCTGTAAATCGTCAAATGACAACACAAGTTTTGCTCTCTCGTGAGGAGACTGCACAAGGTTTCGACTTCGAATGACTAACCTCAAGCTTGCGATAAACATTTCAGCCCGTCGGCGGCAGCTTTTATACACCCTGCAAGGGCGGATCCATGGCGGTGGTGGGGTGGCTACCTCGGGGGTCCGTAAACGTCATCACAAAATATTGCAAATCTTACCCAATGCTTCATTCAGGCCTTTGGTCGTTTTACGCAGCAACTCGAACGCCTCGTCCACCCCACCCCCCGAAACGATTTCAACACCCCAAGCCACCCCCTTTTGAAAAGTGGATTCGTCACTACCCAGATTTTGCATGTCCCCGGGAAGACAGGTATTGTCCCAAGTTATACATACGTGTTCTATCCAATCAAACGCCGTGCAAAACAATAGCCCTTCCTACCGGGGCCTCAACCAATCGTTCGTCAGATGTCAGTGGTTCTTATATGCTTTTTTTTAGGATGAGTAAAAAAAATGCAATAATGCGAAGGAGCCATTTTTTTTTAAAACCAAGTTGAAATTTTGAACTTTTTAACCTTGCAAGAATGACACATTCCTTAGTAACCTTGTGTGAAAATAATCGCATTGACTGTTTGTTTTTGTGAACATTTTACTGCGGTACCCGATTTACGTTTTTGTCCACGTGGCGTGAGAATTGTGCATAAGAGCGAAGAAACGGCACAATAAAGACAATATAGACAACACAGATTTATAACTGACTGAACCTTAGCTCGAGCTATTTTTTTTTACTGCTTCACTTCATTATGTTTATATTGTACAACATTTCTGTGAGCTATATATAGTTACTGTATCCTTCATTGTTCGCACAATTGCAGCTCTGGGGCCAAATTCACGAAGGCTTCGCAACGTTAGCGACGTCGCACAACACCTCGCCTTCGCTAATTTTGTATTCACAAAAGCTACGCTTCACAAACACTTCGCAAATGTTAGCGAAACCGACATATTTTCGCAAACATCGCGCAAAGGTTTGCACATTATTCACAAAAGCCTCGCAAACTTTGCGATTTTGCAATCTCTTCGCAAAAGGTTGGCTAACGCGTGATTTTTTTTGCGACGAGTCCGAAGTCGTCGCTAACTCCTCGTACCTAACGACATGACGCCTTTGCTCGAGCTGGATGAAGAACTCCATCACGAATTACGCCAAAATATGGTCTGTTTGACCTTACCAACGCGTTCAGGAAGATACAGTGATGATCATAGCGAAAATTAAGGTACACAAAATTGATTGACCTCTCCAAGGATATCAGACGTCAGATATGATCATTTTAAAAAGCCCGAAATAAACCGGAAAAAAATGGGCTGGACACCACATTATACTAGGGGCGCTCTTCAGGATAAGATGAATATCAATATGCATACTCGCGCTTACATCAAAACGGCGCATTTTTAGAGCTTTTGTACTTTGTTTCTCCACTTTTCAGTGCTAATGAATACATTTTAGTTTTTGGGATGTTAAAAAAATAAAACTTGTACACATTTTTTTCTTATCTAAAAAAAAAATAGAGTTGGGGGATGATTCAATAGCCCAGCCCCCAACCCCCGGTCAAAAAGTGTGGGGGGGGGGGGGGATATATACCCCCATTCCCGGGATTTACGCCCCTGTTTGCATGGCCCCTTAAATTAAGTGTTCAGACAGACATACGCATGAATGAACCTAAGGGAGTGAAATTGGGATCGTCTGATGGAAGTGGCCCAAGAAAACATTGGAGAAATTACCCAAAGAGAACTGTTCCCGATGGTACTACCATTGCCGAAAATACATGCCCCGATGTCTTGCACGTCAAGAAATCGTCAACGTAAAGATGCCCCATGCCCAAATGTTTAAACAAGTAGAAAAGATCAACAGTGAAAAAGAAATTTCCTTAGCCCTTTTCATTTCATTGTTTTGTTACATCTTGTATCCCTCATATCAGTTCATTTGTTACATTATAAATTTTACAGTCATTAAGATATTTGGAGGGGAAAATAACCTCAGAGGAAAATAGAAAAATATATCTATTAAAAATGTCTTTACAAGTTGAACAAAGAAATTGACTGGAGCGGGACTTAAACCTGCGACCTCCGGATAACCGTTCCGGTGCTCTAACCGGAACGGTTATCCGGAGGTCGCAGGTTCAATGAAAATGATCAGAAAAAAAACCACGGGAAAATGGCCGCGAAAACCTACTTACAGGCGTCTCTGACATTAACTCGATCAAATGACAATGGCTTTTGCAGTGGAATCCTTCAAATTTAGGATGTTATACAATCACAACTTGTTTTCGTGTCAACATCTATATGTATATATATAACACTTAATTCTCTGGGGGAAATGTGATGAAATAAGTTCGATTAGTATCGCAGGTGAGATAAATTAAACCAATAATAACAGAAAGGTGTTGTTTTTCTTCAACTGAAATTGTCGATGATTGGAAATGCAATGTATAGTCATTCCATACCTTCATGTTTAGACAGGTCGAAAGAGTCACTGAACTTTTACATAAACCAACATGACAATTCCATCTGGTATAGAGTTGGTATGTATCTCTTATGGTTTCTTTAGACTTAGCGAGCTGAACTAGACCAGCCAAGAAACTTTCAATTCAAATCCTTTCGTTTGAAACTTTTTAACCAAAAACCGTACATTCTTGTCTATCATGTTCTTCCTTTGGTAATTGAGTCCCTCAGATCGGCATTCGGGGTCTGAGATTCATTAGTGTTTTTTTTTTTAACGATGTACATTAGTCAAAGTTGGGAGAAGGGTGTCAGCTTGTACCTGTTGGTTGTAACAGTATGGCCCTACGTGATCGGTTAGTGCAACAGCTAATAGGGGATTTGTGTAAAAGAGGATGTGCTCTGTAAAATTATACAATTACTCGTCTAAGATCATCCTCTACTGTGATTGTGTACCACAGTCATTCGCTGCATTACCTCAACATGAAGAAGTTCATTCCCCCATGGTCTGTTTTAGGCAACTTGTAGTCTGGTACAAAAACCAACCTCCAATTTTCATAAGAACAGAGCAATGTCTATACTCAGGTGGCTGAGATCCAATTTTTGATACGATCGTGACCGATTGGTCCAAAGCACAAAACTTGGCAGACATATTCTTATAGGCCTAAAGAATATTTTAAAAAGGAGTGACACCTACAATTCTTGAAGGAAGGGTGCCTAATTTGCATAAATGTAAATACGTTCCGTTAAATAATTTTTTTTCCATATTTGGGTATATTTTGAATTCTTGTTTTTCTTTTAAAGTATATTTTGGGGATCCTACTTACATATCCTTACTTAAATAGCATTTTCTGATATTATTATGAGGACAAAGTAAAGATAAAAATGGCTATTTCTAAAGTTGCACGCATTTACCTTATCTTCAGATAGCATCAGGTAGTCTTGCCAAACCTCAGTACTGATGCGCTTATAATTCACCTTTGGAGTTGCTTACTGGTACAGTTACCCTAATAAAAGTTTAGAGAAATAATGTGAACGTTACGTAGCCGAAAACAATTGGGGTTTATATATTTTATTCTGTATGGTGAATGACTTACTAGGTTTTGGTAAAAGCCATTGCAATTTTTCGTGGACGAACTTGAATGTTAGAGTTGGTGAATTTGAATGAAAAATGTTTCAAAATAGCCGGGAAAACCTAAATTAAAGTTTGTCAAATCTGCGATGCGATTGTGTACTTTAGGACACCTTTTTTTTTTTTTTTAGTTTTTATCATTCCAAATTTACTTCTGCTATCTCAAGTAATCTTCATAAAATTCCTTTTCATAGTATATCAACAATAATTCTCACTAAGACTGGGTGGGACTAGATAGACTCCTGCTGTGTAATTGTTCTTGTTCGTTATTTGTTATTTTGGTTTTGCTTAGTTAGAACTCTACCTGTAATGTTTGTCTTTATCATAATTCTGAACCAATGGCTTTACCAACAAAAGGGGAACCCTTGTGTAATCATTCTTTTTGTTCATCGTGCCTGCAGTGGTTTTGCTTTTGTGTATATCAATAGGGGTACGGATAGTCATGACAGGAGAACCCCTGGCCTTTGTTAATGGTGATGACAGGAGAACCCCTGGCCTTTTTTGTCATGGCGATTTATACAATGATCTCATCCTATATTTTTAACCCATGCAAGTGGCTTATTTTTACGTTTGTACATCAATGGGTAAACCACCCATAGGAGAACCCCTGGCCATTTTTTTTTCACGGTGATGTATTCAGCAATCGTTTCAATGTTTGTTCCCAGTACTGCACATAATTGGGTTTTTTTTACATTCTTTTATCACAATGGGTTAACCACCCATAAGGAAAACCCTGGCCATTTTTTCATCCTTGGTGATGTACATGTACACAAAATGTACAGTTATTTTACTTCTTTTTTTTTAACCATGGTTAAAAAAAAAGGAAGTAAGATAACTGTACATTTTATTTTATTTCATTTTTTTAAAAACTATTCCATCCATTATTTTGTCCTAGTGATGTATCCAGTAATCTTATTTCTACTAGCTACCTGTAGTGGGTTTGCTTTGTAACATCATCCTGTATCACAATGGGTTGGTGGGACCCCTGGCCAAGTTTATCATGGTGATGTACGTGAATAGTAACCTTATTTCTATTTTTTTTTTTTTTTTGTACTGCACTTAATTTACTTTTACTGCACTTATTTTACTTTTACTGCACTGCACTTTATTGCACTTAATAATACAAAAACATAAAGGAATAAATACATGAATCTCCCAATTCATGACATAATTCTACATGATTACGCCGTAGATATATGCATCAGTCAAGTCTTTACTTTTTTGATTTTTGTATGTTTTACTTTACAAGTTCTCATTCATTCATGGAGGTGGGGAAATGTCCATGTGTCATGGTACTCAACGCCACGGGTATTCATCAGTTCGTAGAACAAAATGATCAGTGGTAGACAGCCGAGTTTTGTGATCCTTTTAATGAAATAGATATAACGTGGTAATATGTGACATTTTTTCACAGTTAAAAGTCAATATGATGTACTTTATGATCCCTGTTTTTCTTT